GGCTCTCACAGGCTAACCCCTGAGATTCTTGATGATGGCCATCCAGTTTTAGCAGTGAGACTGACTGAGATCTTAAGCAGAATCCGGGAACTTCACGTAATTCCATTTGGCTGGTCTCGAACACTGATTGCCTCAGTTTATAAGACAGGACAAAATTCCTCTCGAGACAATCACAGAAGGATCAGTTTAAATAGCATACTGTCAAAAACATTAGCATCAATCATGCTTCGACGCCTAACTGCACTGAAAGTGGAAAGTTCAGAGTGATAGGTTCGCAGTATATTAATAAAAAATTTAGAAACGTGCAACACAAAAATTATCTGTGTCAAAGGATTATTATTATTTAATAATTATACAACAAAAATATCGGTAGAAACTTCAAATAGGGTCGTTCAGAAACTTGGCTTTTGCTTTATATTTATTTCAACATAGCAGATAATTAATATGTCCAGGACAAAGAACGCTTTGCAACTAAACCATACAGCTTGGATAACACAACACACTTAATATTCACATCCTGAGTTGCAAATATTTTCCATTATTTCAATAATTCTTCCAGGTTCTACAGAGATCTAAGGAAGTGAAGAATATGCGGGAAGTTGAAAAAGATTACCCATATATGGGGATTAACAAAATCAAGAGTTAGGAGTGAGTGACAGTGTATTCTTCTGAGTACCTACCGATTTCAGCAAGCTCCAACAGGTGGAAGGTGAGAGTTTATGCCATATTTAGTAATATCATCTTTAGTAAGGAACACTGAAATTACCGTTGCACATACTATCTTCAAATATGTATTTGTGACTCAGTAAAGTAACAAGTAAAGACCTTACCTATATACATATAATGGAGCCTAAAACTTAAGTTATTTTAGAACCATTATGTCGTCAAAGTACTTGGTAGCCAAATAATCGATAATCTAAGTATTTCGAAACATACAGAAACCTCATAACAATTTATTATTCAGCCGATTATTATTTATTACAGAAAACTAGTCAAAAGGAGTAACGTCAAGGAATATTGCTCAGCTACTAACAATGAGATGTCTGAAGCGTCCGCGTATACATACTATCATACACACATTCAAGAACATTTAATCATAACGTTTTCTCGGACGAAATCCTCCGGTTTTCAACAATTTTAGAGGAACTCAGTCAATTGACCGAATAGGTTTTTATCAAACAGTACTGCTAACTACAACTCCGACTGGAGCCCTAGTGGTACAGCCGGTCCCAAGCCCGGATAAAGGAGGAGGGTTGGGTATGGTTTTAGCGACCTCTTCCCACAAAAAACTAACTCGCTAAAAAAACATAATTCAAACCATTTTAACTCTGCCCTAAGAGTTAGGTCTTCTTTCAGAATAATTATTACGTCTCTAATATAGCCTCGGACCAACACTTGCTCGTCGCCAAAATGAAACCTAAAACTCAAGAAGCGTTGGACAACGGGACAGACAGCACCACAAAAGTTCAACCCGACCTTTCTTTAGGTAACTGACAAACTCAACGAAATAGGAATCACCCTGAGCAATAGGCTACAAGCTTTTCACAAACTACTCGATGGAAAAGAAACCACCATGAAAACCATTGTAAAAAGATCAAGGAGGCAATCACTTCAACATGTCAAAATGTTATGGGCCACAAGAAGTACCATCACAAGGAATGGATATGTGTCTGTTCTCTGGATAAGATTCAAGAAGGGAGGAGCAAGAAGGCAGCAATCAACATCAGCCGAACGGGAGCATAGAAAGCCAAGGCACAGGCTGAATACACAGAAGCAAACAAGCAAGTGAAGAGAAGCATCAGAGCTGAGAAACGGAAATATGTGGGAGATCTAGCAATGACGACTGAAAAGGCTGCAAGAGAAGGAAACTTGAGACAAGTGTACGATACAATAAAGAAGCTCACTGGAAACTATCGTAAACCAGAACGACCAGTGAAAAGGAAGGCAAAGTTATCAGCAACACTGAAGAACAGCAAAACGGGTGGGTGGAGCACTTTAAGTAACTCTTTAATCGACCAGTCTCACTGAACCCACCCAGAATCGAAGTAACACACATGGAGAACCCAGTTAATGTTGACCAGCCAACAAATAAAGAGGTTAGTATGGCCATCAGACTAATCAAGAAACGCAAAACAGCAGGATCAGACAACATTCCAGTTGAGGCAATGAAAGGAGACGTGACAGCAACTGCAAAAATATTCCCCTCACTTCAAAAGGATTTGGGATGGAGAACAAGTACCAACAGACTAGAAAGAAGGATACCTCATCAAAATACCGAAGAAAGGCGATCCCAGCAAGTGTAAGAACTACAGAGGCATCACTCTTCTTTCAGTACCAGGCAAAGTCTTCAACAGGATATTGTTCAACAGAATGAAGGACTTCGTAGACGCCCAACTTCGAGATCAACAGGCTGGATTTCGAAAGGATAGATCGTGTACTGACCAAATTGCTACGATACGGATCATTGTGGAACAATCAATTGAATGGAACTCACCACTCTACATCAAATTCATTGAATACGAGAAAGCATTCGATAGCGTGGACAGGAAAACACTATAGAAGCTTCTTCGACACTACGGCGTGACTGAGAAGATAGTCAACATCTTACGAAATTCTTATGATGGATTAAACTGCGAAATCGTACATGGAGGATAGCTGACAGAATCGTTCGAAGGGAAGACCGGTGTCAGGCAACGTTGCTTACTCTCACCCTTTCTTTTTCCCCTGGTGATCGACTGGATTATGAAGACGTCAACATCTGGAGGGAAGCACGGTATGCAATGGATGCCAGGATGTAGCTGGACGATTTCAACTTCACAGATGATCTGGCTCTTCTATCGCACAAGCAACAACCAATACAAGAAAAGACGACCAGTGTAGCTGCAGCCTCATTCTTAGGGAAAAGTAAGATTCTCCGATACAACACAACATTCACCAATACATCAAACTCGATGCAGATGCCTACGAGTACATAAAAGACTTTATATATCTGGGCAGCACCGTCAACAATCAAGGTGAATCGGATGCAAACGTGAGGGCGCGGATCGGCAAAGCGGGGGCTGCATTTCTACAATTGAACAAAATCTGGAACTCCAAACATCTATCAACTAACACCAAAATCAAGATTTTCAATACAAATGTCAAGACAGTTCTACTGTATGGGACGGAAAGTTTGAGAACTACGAAAGCCATCATCCACAAGATACAAGTATTCATTAACCGTTGTGTACGCAAAATACTTCGGATTCGTTGGCCAGAAACAATCAGCAACAACCTACTGTGGGAAAGAACAAACCAGATTCGAGCGGAGGAGGAAATCAGGAAGAAGCGGTAGAAGTGGATAGGAAAAAAACTGCGTAAAGCACCCAACTGCCTCACAAGACGAACCCTCACTGAGATCCCTCAAGGTAAAAGGAAAAGTGGAAGACCAAAGAACACATTAGGCCGAGAAATAGAGAAAGATATGAGAAGAATGAATAAAGATTTGGCAGGACTGGAAAGGGAAGCCCAGGACAGAGTAGGTTGGAGAATACTGATCGACGGCCTATGCTCCATTGGGGGTAACAAGCGTAAGTGAGTAAAATCCTACTGCTAAGTACGGAATTTTATGACTAATAGTTCTATATATGCCTTGCAGACACTAGTTTAAAAGTGCGACATCAACCTTTGTTTTTCGACGTTGGCAGAAAAGATGAGCATTCATAAAATAGAACAAATCAGCTTTGTAACATTCGTAGTGAAAACTCTTAAAGAATCAAATAGATGAGAAATTTAAGCATCATAACAGATATTCCTGAAAAACAAAGGAGAGGAGTTATAAGCATGTTTTTATATACATACACATATACATGATATATAATAAAAGCTAATATTGATTACCTAATTATACGAAAAACGTTTAAGATGAATAACACAAAACAGTTAACAATACATTCATGACAGCTCCATAGTTCCCCTGAAAATGATTAAATATACACACAATCGGCAAAGTGAACACGTAATAAGCATAAGAAATAATAAATTATATAAGAAAGACATAAAAGCATAATTAAATGATTGAATATTAATGCAATTACGACATATTAATATTTTCGGTTTTCAATAGAAAAAGTAATTACGGATAATCACTAGTTAAGTAAACAGATAAAGAGAAAAGTGTTTTTGAAAAGCTAACAGATTTTTAAAATTTATTACTGAATATATGCATAAGATAACTATGTCTAACCCATAGCGAACGAAGAAGGAATTTCTGTTACGTTGAAACAATAACACTCGAAGCGGTAATACAATAAATTAGCTTATAGTCTTACACGTAAAGCCAAGGAATAGGTACAAACCGGTGCTAAGTCCATCACAGAAATCATTCTTTACTGTTGTTTCGCATTACTAATAACAATAATATTGATAAGTAAAAGTGAAGTTCCGATGCCGCAACAATAATATGATGATATAAAGGCGTAGACAAATAGAAAACATTGATGATTTGAGTAGAGGTGGATAACATGATTATGTATAAACTTCTTAATGTATAACCCATTTATTACTGACGCATTTAACGGAATCCGTATACGTTCGTGGAGTACAGTAGAGGTATATTGATACGAAATCTCAATGATAACAGAGTTAAAATGTGATAAAATGAAAACCTATTTACCAGTTAGCAAAAAGAGTTTGTGTAAGGCCAACTGTGAAAAGATGTACGTGAATAATATAAATTAACATAGACAAACTAAACGCATCAAAATATACCACAAAAGTACAAAGTTTTCAAAAATAAAATACACCAAGAAGAAAATATATGGACATGTGTTATTGTTAATATGCAATGTAGTATGAATTCGACAATAAAAGCATTTATAAAGAACAAAAATATGAAATAAAATTGCAAATAGACAAAAATGTAGGTTTTTTCTTTCCTTAGTGGAATCAACACGAGGTAAATAAGTGACATGAACGGGAAATTATTCAATGGTATCATCACAATACATATGAATTTATTATCAAACAAATTGTGGAGCATCTGGATCGGAAGAAGGAACAGGTATTCCAGGATTATACAACAATGGACGCATATATCTGGCATTATCTATTGGATCGAATGCAAAAACCTATGAAGAAAAAAATATATGTATATATAAGAATTAACACGTAAAACACTTAATAAGAGAACATCAATACTTTTCATTGACTAATCACATTTTATGCAATGATTCATGAGTTACACTTTAATTTATGTGAAAAAAATAGTTAGTTTGAGTGACATTATAAAATCATATGATATATATATATATATATATATGTATATATATATATATATATGCCTATAAAATAATCATAATGAGTTGTAAAACTATAAACAAATACCGATATGATATTGAGTGATTTAGTTATTCAACAGTTACTTATTGAGTTATATGGATTTGATATTGTTTCATTGATTTCAACTAGAGTATTCAGGTAGTGTTGTCAGGAAAGAAAGTTATAGTGGCATCAAGGGAAATCAATCAAACCTGAACCTGATTGCTGAGTAATTATAGAAAGAAAATGGGATAAAAGGGTAAATTTTCATGAATAAAAGTTCAATTACGATAATTTAATTATTTTACGCCTTTACAATAACTGATCACTGAGGGATTAAAATGACTGAATAACAAACAAACAAAAGAAAATGAACATGTATTTTTTGCATAGATATCACACATATTGCTGAGTTATTTACAACGGAAATATTGTTTAGTACAAAAAACACTAAGGAAAGAACCAAATGATATGAAAATTGTATTACTGTGAGTAAATGGAAACACGAAAATTGTTCCCTATAATGATAATAATAATAATAATAATAATAATAATAATAATAATAATAATAATAATAATAATAATAATAAAGAATACAGATTATCCAAATGATCCATAATGAAAGATTTATTCACATCCACCAGAGTTAAAAAGGAGAAAGGTGTTCGGATATGACAAGTATGTGATTTAATTAACCAATTTGGAATGTTAGTTGCAGACTTTTGATTTTACGATATTTATGAATTATATTCGAATGCTAAGTTATTGAATAATAATATCAGTGACAAATATGGATCAGTTGAACTTATTCAAAATCTGACTATTAATCGATTTAAATAAGGGATATAGAAAACATATTTTCAGACATAATTTGGTTTTATTTTTAGCATAAAATAAATCCTCATCTGTTATCTATGTTTTTTTTGTCAAAATGTATCGAGTCATATTAGTCTGGCAGAAGCACTACCAATGCAAATATATTAATTTTTTTCACGTCAATATTAAAGTTAGGATTAAAAGATACAATCAAAATTATAATATAACTATTGTACATTCTACTCAGATTGAAAAGGGATTCTACTGTTGATAGTGAAAATGAGAAGGAAATTATATCGGGATCGGCACTTGCTTATGCTTTGAGCAATCTCTAATAACAAACCAAGCCAGTCAACTAAACAAGCATTGAAGCCCTATCAGAAAGCTCCTAAAGAACCAACAAATAATGACCGAACAAAACTATTCTTCATTATGCTGAGTTCTGTAACAAAATGACTGTCTATTTGCTTTTTACCATTCAGTTTGATCGTCAAGAACCAGAGTGGCAACAGTTAATACGCTGTAGATCCTGTCAAGTATCAAAATATATAGTTAGACATCGCCACTCTTTACATGATATTGTTACAGAAAGCAAGTAATGCCTTATTAAACAACACTGATTAAGCAGAGAGCATTATTGGACATCATTAACCAAGAGGGTTTAGGTTAAGCCTTGGCTAGAATCATGACGACAATAAATGTGTCCAAGGTCAGCATAAGCCACTAGCGTTAATTAAACATTTACAAAATATTGACACTATAAATATATTTTCTTCCTAACAATGAGTTTGCGCACAGATTGACATCAAACTATCAAAAATATTCTAAAGTTTAATAGTAAGAAGAATGTATCATACTTATTAAAGCCGATCAGTAAGCTCAACGGAGAAATTCATGTTCACGGTAATTGATTGTAAATTTAAACGTTTTGATAGTAAAAGGATACCAGTTTATTAGTTGTAAGAAATATATCTTCAAGTTAAACTATGAAAATTCACTTTCGTATTTGCCATCTTAATAGTAGTAAAAATGAAACGAATAAAAAGCCTAAAATAATTTCTGAGCAAGTTCACTGAATAATATTCCTTTGTTTATGAGATATGTGACATATACTGTTGCTTAACTGTATTATTTTGACTTCATGACAAGCAGTTTAGTGGTACGCAAAGAGCCAGTTGAATAATCAGTGATAAGTTTGATTTCATTAAAGTAAAATCATAGAATGGATAGACAGTAATGTAAAAAATTTATAAAAAGATATCGTTAAATGCATGCTCTCCCACTTTTCTTTCAAATCATCCACATAAATTCATGTTTGATTGCAAATATCTGACTGTCATACAAACATACAGACGTAATTCAATGATATTTATTGATTTATTCCCATCCTACATGGAATCAAGTAGAATCGAATACTACGAATGATTTGTGTATTCAAAAACAAAAAAGACATGAAAAAATCCTAAAGTGATTAAACCTATTTTATTCTGTGTATATCGATATTACTCAACATACTATTAGTCCATAAAAATACAATACATAGATTAGATAAAGATATACAGAGAATGTTCTAAAAAACCACTCCACCCTGATTAGTTAGTCGTGTGATCATTGTTGAGTGACTAACTTTAAGATGGAGTCCCCGAAGTCCTAGCGAAAAGGTGATTCATCAAATCAACCAACTAGGAATTGAGGTAATGATATTTTATGAAGATAATATTCTATTATATATTACTGTAATTGAAAATTGAGATCTTTGGATTTCCATAAATATTTTTATGCATTTATGTGGAACGAAAGCATCTTAGTACTTCTGTGTAAATTTTTTTCACAGTAATATATATATATATATATATATATATATATATATATATAGTCACTGCGAAATAATTAACCATATGTAAACACCAAATTCATATATATATCCCTATATTCTGTGGGAGTAAAAAGTATAAAATTGAAAGATAATGTTTATTTTCCCCTCTTATTTTCAAACAAAATACATGATCAATGTTGCAGTGAGTTCTATAAATTCTGACAGAACAGTAAAACCCATACTCAAACTACTCATGTGGATGTAGTTTCTTGTTGTAAGAACCGTTATTTAAAAAAGCATATACTTTTAACCAGTCGTGTTTACAATGGTCTAGTTGTATCTTCATCCTAACGGCATTTTCATATATTTGGGTTTATTCACCTATTATGTCATCTACAAAAATAAACAATGACAATCTGAGTTTGACATATATTTTTTAGGACTTTCAGCTGAATAGAAGACAATGTAACAATATCTTATGGGTTAAAACACTTGCCAATAAATAAAGTTTTAAGTATTACTTAAACAGAAACAAACGGATCATAGTTTTGAAATACTTACCGAAAAATAAACTACTTGATATATGAACTGTAGCTTTAGAAAGTAACGAATTAACAACAATACTACCAGTGATTAACTCAGCCTGGTGATTAACGTTAAACACATATTATTAAGTGGTTGCGTGAAAATATAGTGTTGTCGTACTGATGTACTGTTAATTAAATTTCTAAACAACAAAACACTATGATAAGAGAAAAGTGAACATATTTTTCACAGCTACATATCATTACGAAATCAATTTTCATCTACTAGTTTACACACAATCACTGAGAACGTATATTAAACATAAAAATAACCAGAAATTCACAAACTTAGATAATTTTTACCGGTAAGGGCTAAGTCAATACAGTAGAATCGCAAAACTGTCATGAATATATCTACCTCACATAAACGCACACACACGTACAATAAGGAAAGGAAAACAGTGTTCATTTCGAATAACAAAATAATATGATAAAACGATTATTTTATTTAAATCATGTAACCCAAAGTTGAGTTCTACTGCTATTATTATTTGTTTGAATTTCTTTCCGAAAGTTACACTACAATTATTTTCTATTACTTTGGCTTTCACATTTACGGCACAAATAGTCTTGTGGTTCAAAATCGGAAAAAAATGTTTGTTCCTATTCGTCAATCATTCTCCTCTTTGCGTAAGAGTAATTTTCACTTCTAATAACCTCTCAAGGTGTAAAAAAATTTCCTTGTAAAGAGCGGTTTACGCTTCCGATCCTGTGTACAATTGAAGATTATTAAAATCAGCTTTAGTTAAAGCTCGTTTGGTAATTTTAGTAGTGATATTAAATTCGAAACTACATCAGTACTTATACCCAAACTATAACACTGCTAACACAGATTATAAATTTTATTACACTTTTCAGTAATCTAAACATAACAGCCTTACTGATGAACGATCACAATAAATGTCAGTTTATCAAGTCTTCAGGTTCACTAGATATAGTGAAGGTTTTTAGTATTTTATCTGAGTTTAGCGCGGAGTTGTTTTCTTTGGAAAAATCAGTGTTACGTTGGTAGATTTATCGACTAAGTTTCCTAAATAAACTCTCTACTAGTTTGAAACTAAGTTAATCCACAACTACATAAAGACAAAATAACCTGATAGTTACGCTGAAACAATCAGCATTTACATCCATTTATGTACAATGTGACCACTATCTACCAGGTGTGCTAAGATAGAACTGCGTATTGTTTTTGACTGACCCTTCGTAAACCATGCTGGGAGATGTTCACTTATTCGTTGGTTAAGTTGCCTGGAAGTACGCCCGATATAGCTATCTCCACAGGAGCAGCTGAATTTGTAAATGCACATAGAGGAGGCCAGCTCAGGTAACTTATCTTTCGTTTGAGTAGACATCACAGGTCGACTGGAGAAAGTCAATGCAAGTTTTGCAGCGTTGAATGTTCTGTTAATTACTCTTCTTAATCTGTCCTGCAGAGTATCGCAGGCCACATCTCCGTTGAATTGTAGCTTCATAAACAAAGGCTTCTTTCCATTTATGTACAGTTAACTAATTTGTAAATCAAGTAAATGTATTTCGTAGTGAGTGATATGAAAAGTTTTATAATATGAATGATGAACAGACGTTTAAAAGTCGA